TCTGATTCAACCACAATGCAAAGTTTGATTTCTTCCACATTACTCAGGGGGTTCCTCCCCCACCCCAACCATAGAGTTTGAAACATTTCTACTCAACTGAAAACAACAAATTACAGTTACAGTTAACATCTGTTGAAAAAAAAATTAAAGTTGCCAAGGTGGCTACTCCTGCTTGCTGTGCCACACTCAAACATACCATTATTCCAATGTAGTGTCGGTAATGAAGAGGCAATGGACCATCCATCTGCAGTAGATAGTGCTGAGTTTTTAGAAAACTTTCTAGATACTGTGGGTGAAAAACCATCACCAAGGTAACGTTGTCCAAACGGCCCAAAGCAGCAAAGGAATCAGCAAACAAAGCGTGCATCGGGGCGTCTTCATTTCCCACTTGAAGAATCTGTTTGAATTTATATATAAATCAATCATTAACACGTCCTTAAAAATCAACAAACTAAATATTACCATAGAACTCGGAAGCCCCAGTTAAATTTTGAGAACTGAACATTAATTAAAATTTCTGAAGAAACCCATCATTAAACAGCCTGAAGCTATCAACATGACACTTTAGGGGCAGCACTGAAATTTAAATGACACTTAATGGTATAATTATGCCCATATCTTCTGTAAAGCGAGGTCATGCTCCTTTTAAGTCATGTCTACATAGATGTTCATAAGAGTCAAGACGGTTCAACAAAAAGTATTAAAAAAAATCAATGCACATAAAGTAAAGCACATTAGACCTTATTTCAGATACCCCCAATCAGTAATTAGATGGCCTCTGTGCACTATAGCTTCATACCCAAAATGTTTAACATGCTTTATTTAATGAACACTTATTTCATACTTTTAAATTGACTCACCTAACTTTCCCAAGAGTCTCCAAGTAGGGCCTTTACAGCATAACTCACCTGCTGTAAAAGTGCATAATTCATAACTGCAGGTAACTTCTAACTAAGAAAAAAGTTAAGAACTACCTGTGTAGCTAACAAGGGCCTCAGATTTAAGATTTTAAGTTTCCTAGAAACTGTGTACAGGTACATTGTTAAACCTTATTATACCAGCCCCTCCTGCCAACGGATGCACACAGCAGCATCAAAATAAATTAGTCACATGGGTGAAGGATGCTGTAATTTTTTTGTTTGCTTGTGGTAAGAGTCCTTAAAGCAGACAACAACTATCTATCACCAGAAATAAGGGACAGGACTCAGAACTCAGGCCCACTGTGGACCCGTAGGAGAAACCAGTCCAGCTATGCATAGAATGGAGGGGAAAAAAAGGAGCATGACGCCAAAAAATAATGCTGAATTCTTTTATAATATCTAGTAGTGTAAAAGAGGTGCTGTAAGTTTCCAAAATTCCACATGGACTTCACTGCTCTCTAAGTCACACAGTCACTGCCAGACTCTCAGAGTGATTTAGGGCAATCACTCTGCAAATGTTTTACAAGTCAACAGCTGTTCGGAAAACAAATGTGGGTTACTACTACAGAAGTATTCCTTAAAAGCATCAAGTTCACTGTGCACTTGTGAACATCAACAGACCTCCTTCTCTGGGATGAATCTGCTTGGTCCATGTCCCACTGGTCTAGGAATTCTAATTCCAAGTTCCTAGAAAAGAAAATTGTATCATCTCAATTTTTAGTTACAAACAACATGTGGCTTCCAGGAATGAGAAATAAATCCATAATTCAAACAGGGCTGTGCTTATTTTACTAGTGCATTTTGGACAAATACAATAATTTTTCTACATATTCTCTGTAACTAACCACACTGGTTTACAGTATACTATGCAGCCCCAATCAAAAAAAAAAGCTATGCAGCCCCAATCAAAAACAATAAAACCTGGTTCACTGAAAACCTTTGCTTTGCATAAAGAAGTTGGCAGAGTGTCCAGAACACAGCGTTCAGTACATAGTTCAGTACATCACTGATACAAAGTGAGACTGACTGCAGATGTGCAGACATAGATCAGCTAGAATACAACTCCATGCATCTGTCACAAAATGAAACAGTTACAGTTTTAATATGATTTTTCCCCAACTTAAAGATGTGTATGAATTACTAAAGGTACTAGCATCTAAGTTTTTGTTTGCTTGCTTTTAAGATGAATTAATTAGCTATTTAACAGAGAGGTAATTATGCCCAAACTGAGGAAAAGCACTTTGCCACAAGAATTGCTGAAACCCAGACACGTTTTCTCACTGTCTGAAAGATCACTTATCTTATCACACCTATGCAACTATTTTCACTACAGCTTCTCAACTGAAAGAAGCTACGTATTAAATCTGTTGCTCTTGTGAATTCTGGGAGCCATTTATCCTCTTGAAACCGAGGCAGTAGAGCCAATAAAGGACTCGGAGTATGTGACAATGTAGTGTAGTGGGACTGGGTACTCCCCTGGGCATGGAGAGTCCTGAGTTCCGGCCCCTGCTTCTGCAACTGTTTATATCTGTATATATCCAACAGGCACTGAGTCCTCTAAGCTAGAAAAGCCAAACTCGCTTTGTGTGTACACTCTCTCTAACCCAGCGATTCTTGCATTCTTGGCTACTCAGTAGCACAGTTCAACAGGAGGCTTCGTGGAGTGCCTACATCCAGCTTATTCTGTAGCCTGACGGTTATGGGCACTCTCTGGACAAACCACTGGAGTGGCTGCTTGATTTGTCTGAAAAAATTAGGTAAATTCATCTCTCAGGTACTGTTATGGAGATTTCCTTTAGGAGAAATCAGTTACAAAGAAGCAGACTGTATATATCTTCTGCTCCTCTTAATTTTTACATCACACACTTTTCTTGAGTTGCATTTGGGCAAGATGTGATATAAGAGCTTTTCTTGTTATTAATAGCTTCAAATAGTAAATGGAAAGACAAAGCTTTCATATTGCGGTCACAAGATTGCACTTATCAACTAAATCAGTAATACACTACTTCTCTGTGTTGGATTCAAATGACTCTTACTCCACAAAGGCCAATTACTTTTTGTTTGGCTACCCTACCCTGCTAAATTGAAGAAAGAAATATCCTGCATCCAAGTGACACAAGCAGGCCTATACATAACATTTAATTTAGCAGATGTCTCCAAATCCAGCTGCCAACTCAAACACCCCAGGAGAAAATTCCTGGTCAGCTATGTTTTAGTCCTCTTTTCCAAAACAATTACAGGAAGAAAAACCTTCAAGTTCTACAGTCTGATACTCAACATGCTTGCAAATTTATTTTGTGCCTGATGATGTCTAAAATAAAAATCAATAGGTACTAAACTTGCATACCCTGCCCCTCAGAGTTTTGTAAACAACATATGATTATGCAACATATATCAAGTTAAATGAAAAAGTGTTTTTAAAAAAAAAAAAGTTTAAAAGAATCTCAATGCAGAGACCATTTCAAGAAGTATTAACAAGGAGGGAGGCATGATCCAACCAGTCAGACAACACTGTTGAACTTTGGAGACCAGGTTCAAGTCAGTGACCAAGTCAGTTTTTCCTGGTATCCAACATTAGAAATGATGTTTTCTCTATGCAGCATTTGAAGTGAGACTTAACTCTTGATGGAGTGCTCCTCTCATAGGGATCTTACCCTTGGCTCTTAGCACTTGGCTCCACTCTTGCAAACGTTTCTCTAGGCCTTCATTTTCTAATACATCCAATTCTCCCCCTCCCAGGTTGTCCTCATATGTACAAAGCCTGCCCTCTGATCCAACTATAAAGTAACTAGGGTCTCCTCCTTCAAATCTCTATAAATAAACTTCTGCTCTGGGGCCTAAAAGAAGTCAGTCAGCTAGGAATCGTCCTGGAACAAGCAGCAGTTGGGAATAGCCACCTTCATGTACTGTATTTACTCAATTCTAAAATGAGTCTGTCCCTCCATTTAACATGGGGGGGGCCTCATCTTAGAATCAAATACAAGGGCAGCAAGGGGGGAAGGTAGGTAGCTGCTGTGACTCGCCTCCAGTCCCTACACTAGGTTAGAGCCATAGGTGCAGTTGTTGCCTAGCCCCACTACCTCACCCTGCTGCCTCTGCACCCCTCCATCTCTCCTGCCTGCCCCCCAGACAGCCTTTGCTCCCCTGCCTGCCTCTGTACTTCTTCCCACCCTTATCCTTTTTCTGTGCTGGCAGGCCCCATCCATGCTGCAGCCTAGGACATTGAGCTTGGCCCCAGCCCTGCCCCATAATAACAGTACGCCCACAGAGCTGCTATGGGGGCTGGGCTGGGCTGGGACTGCGTGCCCATGCCTCAGGCTAGAACAGTGACAGAGCCTGATGGCGCAGAGCAAAGGGAAAGGGGTAAGGGAAGGGGAGACCAGAGGTAGGGAGAGGGGAAGAAGAGAGAATGGAGGCTAGGGGGAAAGTGGGGAGTAGAGGACAGGGGGAAGAGGTGGCAGTAGGGCAGGCACAAGCAGGGGCAAGTCATGTGACCTCCCCAAACCACCACTGCCCCCTTGCAGTGGTGAAAGGGATGAATTAAAGATGATCTCCAGTAATTTGATTATATACATGGAAAAAGAAGGGTTAGAGAGAGAGTGTACACACAAAATGAGCTTGGCTTTTCTAGCTTAGAGGACTCAGCAAAGAGGGGAGAGTCCTGGATTCTAGTCCCCGTTCCAAAATCTTTATTTTCCACGTATAGAATCTGATTATTGGTGGGTCATCTTATACAGCATTTGAGTAAATGCAGTATTTTTTGCGCAACTCTCAACACAGCAGAACAGAACATCACCATGACATTCTGCGGCCCATGGGGGCTACTGTAAGTTAGTAATACCAACAAAACAAAGAAAACAAGCACAAAAGAAAACTTTACGTCAGTCATAGTTTCATAGTTTCTAGGGTCAGAAGGGACC